GGGCCCGGCGACCCTTCCGCTCCGCCTTCCGCGTCGCCGGAGCCACAGGCGCGCGCCACCACGCCCGGCTCATTTTTGGATTGACTGTCGAGACGCGGTCTCGCCAAGTTGCCCAGGCGGGTCTCGAACCCGCGGGCTCCGGCCATCCCCTCGCCGCGGCCTCCCCAAGGCGCGGGACGACAGGCTGAGCCGCCGAGCCCGGCTTGGGTTATTCTTAAAGCCGCCCACAGATTTGATCATTGGTCTCATTTGTCTTCACCTGTTTCCGTCTGTCAGATCACATTCCAGGTCAAACGTGTAAAAAAACCCAAAGGAGATCATAAGAAAACTCCTGGGAAAAAGGTAGAGTCAAATCAGGCAGAAAATGGACATCGTTACCAAGCAAACCTAGAGATCACTGGCCCAAAGGTGGCATCTCCTGGACCACAAGGTAAATTTGAATGTTTATTACATTCGTTTCTTTTTTTTAGATTTTGCTGTTTCTGATCTCACTGAGGATGTATTTATCACTTGAAGTAGTTGAGATGAGAAGATACAAAAGCAGAGTTAACAAGAAACCAGTCAGTCAGTGGAACAAAATTTTACTTTGATATTGACTTGATTTTTTTTTTTTTACACTGTTTGGCTTATGTTCTTTCACCTTAAGCTTAAATATCCTATTGATTCTTAACTGGATGGTCCAGCGTAGTAAGTAAAGGGTAGGGTTTGAGACAGACTTCCTGGGTTCAAACACTGGTTCTGCCATTTAACTCCCTATGCCTCATTTTCCTTATCTATAAAATGGAGTGATAATCACATCCACTTCATAGGGAGTTGTGGGGATTCTGTATACACATAAAGTGTTTCAAAGGTAAGGGCACATAGGGTTCAATAAAGTTTTACTACCTAGTAATGTTTTTTGTGTGTCGGTTACCCTGTAAACATTGAGCAAATGCTTTAGAGCTGCTCTCCAGAAAATAACGCATGTACGTCAATGTTTGGCATGTACTCTCAGGGGTTCATAATTGAAGAGATGCCCGAAGTTGAAGAGCAGCCAGGGAAGGGTTTCAGGTGAAGGCCATCGCCAGAGGTCTCGTTCATTATCCTGTCTAGCAATTAAATAGTGGTGATAGGATTCCTTCTCTTTTTAAAATGCTCTCATTTTTTAAAGGGCTGTTTGTTCTGTCTTAGGCTGAAAATGCAAGGTAATTCCATTTAAATATGTCTTATGTAATTTGAAACGAGTACTAATCAAAGCTGAAAGCAGAGGGCACATGTTAAAATATAGAGAAGGGGGTCCAGTTTGGCTAAATCTCGATGGACTGTGACTTGTTAAAAAAAACCCAAAAAACTAAGGACAACAAGAAGGACATTCTTTCATGACCGGAGTTAAAAGCTTAAACTGACTGTACTATTTAAGGAAGCTAGCGTGTGCTAACAAGTTACAGAGGGAAGGGAACACTTTCTCTATGAGGTCTGCCTTCTGTATCAATGAAAAGATGTCCAAACTGAAAACATTATGGAAATGAAAATTCCAGTGAACTAAACATTTCATGTAATAAATTATAAAGGAAGAAAATCTAGGTGAATATTTGCATGCTCTTAATATGGAGAAGGACTTTCTAAGACAGAGAGAGAAAATAATGATAATTCTGGTACCAGAAAGCAACACAAAATAAAAAGATAAAGGACTAAAATAAAGAATGTTTTGCAGAATATTTGCATATATTTACAGACTATATAAGAAAGGATAACAATATCATTTAAAAAGCATCTACAAATCAATATGAAAAATACAGTATTTCAATAAAATAGGTACAGGGTACATCAGCATGTTTCACGGCCATTTGCACACGCGAAGCATGAGAAAATGTTCAACCTCACTAGCTATCAAAGGAGTGCACATAAACAATAAGACACCATTTTTGCTTATCCAATTGTCTTTACATGTGTAATACACAGTGAAAGTTAATTAAATGAATTTTGGGTAGTTTGGCTAAATGAATCGGAAAATTTAAAAATGTACCAGTAATTCTACTTCTAGTAATTTACCCGAAGTAAACCATCTTATAGGTGCCAAAGATATAAGTACAAAGATGTTGCTCATGGGATTGCTTATTATAGCTGTTGTCTGCACTGTGTGCTGTGCAGCCAAGATATTTATAATATAGTGTGAAAAAAGCAGCCTGTAAAACAGCACATAGAGAGAATATTTCAATTTTTGCAAAATAGTATATATGCTATTATTTTATCAACTACAATATCTTACATTTCAGTATCCGTGAAATTGAGAAATATCTTATAATTGATAATACCTTATATAAGAATTGGCACTTTTCTTCTTTCTTAAATCATGTAGAATAATGTACATCTCACAGTTGATGGCATCTTAAATTTGGTGGAATAGAGTACAATAAATAAGCACATAGGAGCAAATATAGAAGGAAATACACCAAAATATTATAACTGAAAGAAGTTTGGCACCAGTAACGACTCCACACCCGGTCTGAACCAAGAGATTTATTAAAGGGGCAGTTACACGAAGGGACTATATCCGAGGAAGAGCAAGAGAGAGAGAGAGAGAGAAAGAGGGAAGGAGAGAGAGAGTGAGAGAGAAAACAAGAGAGAGTGAGTGAGAGAGGGGGAGAGAGGGCAAGAGAGTGTGTGAGAAAGCAAGAGAGAAGGAGAGAGAGAGAGAGCGTGAGCAAGAGAGTGAGTGGCGGGGATAGAGAGAGGGAGTAAGAGAGAGAGAGAAAAAGAGACCGACAGTGAGAGAGAAAGAGAGAGAGAGAGAGAGCAAGAGAGTGGTGGGGACAGAGAGGGAGTAAGAGAGAAAGAGAACTATGCAGGGGGAGGGGTATATTTTATGGACCTTGCAGGGGCTGGCCAGTGCCGTGCCTGGGTCCCATTGGAGGAGACCATGAGGCAGCATTTTTACAGGGAGAGGTTGTTTGAGCACAGGTTTAAGTTTCCCGCGGGCGGGAAAAGCCGCTTAGGGCCTTTGTTGTCTTTGGGAGGCAGCGCCATCTTGGGGACGCCCTTCTGACTGTTCCCTGTGCCTTTCAATAACTCATTATAATTATAAGTGGTCATCTCTGGGTGCTAATAGAGGTATTGGTGATTTTTATTTTCTCCTGTATAGCTTTTCCATTTTCTAAATATTTTATAATAAACTATATTACTTTTATAAACAAAGAGCTAAAATTTATTATAAATTGAAAATTAAAGCACAGTGTGAATGAGGTGATGTGAGTGCACTTCAGCAATTTTATCTGAATTCAAGTTGTGGGTCTAAGTAGGGCCTTGAGTGTACTTGCAAATGAGATCATGGAACCGTTTATTGGCATTAAGGTGAAAAGTTCTAAAACATGGAGAGATGCAAAAATACTAGAGAGGTTCAGTATTTCAATTTTAAAATAAATACGGATTCTATCTACCACCAACTAATAAGCTTCATGATGCATCCTGAAAAGATTCTAAAGCAAACTATTAAACAGATGTTTGTGAACCCATGGGAAAGAGTAGAGATCATTAAGAACCATTGTAGATTTACTAAGGACTAATCAAAATGCTTAACTAATTTCATTTCCTTTTTTGGTTAGGGCTACTAGACTGGAAGACCAGGGAAGTGCCATAGACATAATGTAACTGGATTTCAGCAAGGCATTTAGCAGAGCCTCTTATGGTATCCTTGCGAACAAGATGGAGAGATGTGGGCTCGAAGCCTTCCCATTGCCTGCAGGATAAAGTCCAAACTTCCTAGCGTGGTGTACAAGACCCTTTACAAGTTGACCTCTCTCCACCCTGCAGCACCATTTTCTGAACCAGCCAAGTTCTTATTTTAACTCAGTGCCCTTGCACATGCTGTTCCCTTTGCCTGGAATGCCCTTATGCCACTTCTGCAGTGCTAAAATACCAGTCATCCTTAAGCTTCAAAACCAAGCGCCATCTCTTCCTTGATATCTTCAGGCAGAATGAGTTGCTCTTTCCTCTGTGCTTTTGTTCTAAACCTTCTCCCTAGCACTTACCCTGTTGTATTGTAATGACTTGTTGATGTTACCTTCCTCACTAGACTGTGAGCTCAGGAGCAGGCCATCCTATTATTCCTGTCTGTATCCCTATTGTCTCTTGATTTCCAGCCCCTTACAAGAGGTGCTCAATAAATATTTTTCAAATGAGTTTCTTAAATATAAAAGAAAAATAAGCTTTTTGGGAAAGTTATGGTTTATTTAAGTTATTAGTCTAAAAAGTTATTTTGACACTTTTTCAAACTGTTTTTTTTTTGTTTATTAAAATCTCAATCTAAACCCTTGCCTGTACCTCAAACAGTGTTTTATTGTTGGTAAATTTCTATAGTATATATAAAAAAAGAGCTGTACAGAACTAAAGTTCTCCTTACTGCCCATTCCATTATAATTCCTTCAGAAGAACCCTTCTCAGACAAGACAGTTGTGCTCTTTTCTTAGAGATTCGGTCCAAGTAAAGAGCCTGGACCCCAAAGGTAGTACTGTGTTATATTAGTAAACAGAGCTTTAAAAACTCAATAGCTTTAAATAGTGTACTGATTGGGAACATACATGTGAGAGTCAGACAGACCTGGATCCCCGCTCTGCTACCTGCTAGCCAGGTACCTTGGGCATACCATCTAATCTCTCTGACCTCCATTTTCTCCTCTGAGAAATGAGGGTTAAAACCTTCCTCATGAGGTCAAGTATGTATGTAAAGCACTTAGTATCAGATCTGAACGTAGGAAGTACACTTAAAATTGATGATAACATGGCTGGTCCAATTGCCGTCATGTTTATAACTAATTGATCACAACCGCTTACAGATTTGTTGTGCCTTCTTTACTCCCACTGGTTCATTTGAATTAAAAAATAAAGATGATAAACTTTTCATTAGCATCGCTATTTTCCACACTGCTGCTTTTCTTTGCAGCAGTGGTTCTCTGCCAGGGGTTTGTCCCCTCCAGGGACATCTGGCAATATCTGGAGACATTTTCTTTCTTTTTTTTTTAATTTTTATTTTGAAGATGTGGGGTACAATTCAGGGTTAGGTATACAAATGTTTATTATGCAGGTACCCTTGTTGATGAGGTATGCCTCTCCCTCCCCTGGCAGTTCCCACAACTGCCAATCCCTTTCTTACAGAATTATGATAATTGTTCAAGGTCTGCTTATGAGTGAGAACATGTGGTACTCAGTTCTTTGTTTCTGTGATAGATCACTCAGTATTTTTTATTGTTACATCTGGGGAAGGGTGCTACTGACATCTAGTGGGGAGAGGCTAAAGATGCCACCAAATGTTGTCCAGTGTCTAGGACAGGTCTCCCAACAAAGTAATGCCAGATTGAGAAACGCTGCTTAAAGATACCTGTTTCTACTGGCTATGTTGGAATTATCCTTATAAAATCAAAATTAAAGAGGTAAGTATTAAGTTTTCTTAAGAATGCTAACATCGAAGAACTATCTTAACCCTTGTTTCGTGCTGATCAGTTTTAAATCTAACAAAGGGTTAATTTATTCTTCGTCTGTCTTTTAGAATAAGGTTTTACTTGGTAGTGATCTTGATTCCCATTGCCATGAATGACAAGATTTTAATTAGATCTGTAGATGGTGGGAATTCTAAAGACTAGAAGGATAACTAGGACTTCCAAATGCACCAATCTGGGTAGTCACCAAGGCATAAGACACTTTGAGTTGTTTTCTTTTTTGTTATTTTTTTGTAATTGTGTCAATTCCTGATGTACTTTTCTTCTAGGAAAAAAACGTGACTACCAGAGTCTGGGATGGCCCAGCCCAGACGAGTGCCTCAAGCTGCGCTGGGTGGAGCTGACTGCCATCGTGAGTACCTGGCTTGCAGTTTCCTCAAAAAACATTGAGTGAGTATCATAAACCTCTCCCCTCTTCATGGCATTTATGTTCCAGTGAGTCCACTGGGCCTCAGCTGCCTTCAGGGATGCCCCTTGTCGGCAGCATTGTAGAGCTGGTGGCTCGAAGGATGACCATTACTGACCACAGCCCCCAGGTGGACTCAGCCCATTGTAACGAAGCAGTGAGCCTGGCCCCTGTGTAAGCTATCCAGAAGTAGTGTGTGACTTGCTTAGTTTAATTGAAGACCGGCACTCCCTTTACAGAAGCATGAAGCCCATAGTCTCTCATAGACTTGCAGTTACAAGGAAGCCAGAGCACATCCAGACTTGCAAACGACTTCTTCTTTGATACCTGCTCTTTCCTCACTGGCCACTCATTCTTTTGCTGACCCCTTTTCTGCCCTTTAAGTGTTGGCGTTTCCCAGGATTTGCTCCTAGTCTGACTGATCTACTCCCAGAATTTCAGTTACCACTGATGTATTGCCAGCTCCCAAATTGAATCTCCAGTCCAGACCTTTCTTCAAGGCCCTTAACTGGTTTATCCAATTATCTACCAGATCTCTCCGTCGGGACTGCTCTCAGACACCTCAAGTTCAGGAAAACCGAACTCATCGTGTTCTTGCCCACTTCCCATCAAGAAAACCATTATTTATTTTCCTATTTTTAGCAAGCAGCTACACCCAGAAGCCTAAAAGTTATCCTTAGCAGTTCCTCCCTTGCCCTTCAAACCCAGCCTGTTACCAGTTCTCATCACTTTTACTCCCTGAGTGTTTTTCAAAACCATCTACTTTTCTCTGCCCTCTGCACGTCAGTTCATTTAGTGCCTGCTAGCTGATCCTCTTGCACTGTTCACTCTTGCCTCTGTTCAATCCATTCTCTCCACGGTACTCAGAGTTCTTCAAATATAAGTTAGACTGTTCTTAAAGCCCTCTAATTACTTCTCATTGCTGTTGCAGTGGCCACAGAGCCCTTCTTGATCTACCCCCTCCCTCTCTTCCCGTCTCCAGCTCTGCCCTCTCTCATCAGGACCTTCACACACGGAGTCCCCTTTGCCTGTGTGTTGGTCTCACTGCTGCTTCTGAGCTGGCTGATTCACATTTACTCTTCTGGTCTCAGCTTAAATCTTCCTTTCTCAGGGAATCCTTCAGTAGCCACCTCCCTCCTCTGTCAGCATAGAGGAGATGTAGACACCCTGTGGTGTCCTGTCGTGACACCGTGTTTTCATCTTTTGCAACCTACCACGTCTGCGTTGACTTGCAAGATGAGCACAATAGCAGCTGGGATTGCATGTGCTTTGCTGACTATTATGGTCCTGGTATCTGACATGGCGTAGGCTCTGAATAGATCCTGAATGAATGAATGAATGTTTGCCTAGTAATTGTTGAACTTCTTAAATAGCTGGAAGTAAGACTTGGCCGTGCCAATTCAGAACACATGATAGTCGGTAACGTCTGTGTATAATGGGAAAATGACCACTTTGGGCCATGAAAGGAATTACTTAATTTTATGCACAAATATGACATACAGCTACATCTGTATAAAATTTCTATCTAAGTTTTAGATAACTTTTTTCCTGTAGGGACAAATGTGCTTCTATATATAAAGGAAAAGGAAAAGATAACCAATTGTGGGAATTTATCACTCCCAGTACCCTGGAAGAATCCTCAAAGAATCCTAGAAGGAAACCTCCCCAGTGAGGGGATTTTGAGGATATGATCAACTAATTGTTAATGTGCTCTCTCTCTCCCTACCCACTCAAATTTTCCCTAGCTAATGTGATCATCTCCATTTTTCAGCATCACAGAACACATAGATTTTGCCACCCCAATACAGCAGCCAGCAATGGAGCCTCTATGCAATGGCAATCTCCCCACAAGTATGCACACCCTGGACCACTTGCATGGGGTTTCCAACCGAGCCAGCCTGCACTACACGGGTGAGAGTCAGTTAACAGAGGTCAGTGCACAGTTTTGTTCAGCCTATGTGTGTTTTTTAGGATGCAACTGAGTTAGGCCTTGAAAAAAAAAAATAAGACCTTTTTTCAGTTTGCTATCACCTAGGTGGGTTTAAATCAAGCCTAGTTTCATTCAGGCTCTGGGACTGCTTTTCCTAATGACTATGACATTTTAGTTCTGATTTACCCCTTGAGATGGGTAGTCTTGCTTTGCCATCAGATATAGACTCTTTGGGGCAGTTAATCCTCCTGTTGACATTTTTAAGAAAGAAGAAAAGGAGGGCAGACCCAGCATATATCTGGCAAAAACTATGCCTAGAAGTAATTGAAAAGACATGTTACACATGTCCAGCAATAGAGGACTGGCTGAATAAATTTTGGTGTGGATATAAGATAGTATGCATTGGAGCCATTAAGAAAGATGTAGGAAATATTCTTATTGGCATGCGGAAATTTTTAGAATATATTATCTGAAACATAGGTAACAATATGCTGTTTAATCCAGTATTTTGTGAGAAAAAGGATATTCTATACATAGAAAAATATCTGAAAGACAAATATATATAAATATATTAACAGTGGTTGTTAATACCTTTATGTGTCATTCAGACCTTTATGTGTCTGAATGACAGGATTGAATGTTTTTATTTTCTGTGTTTTCTTCATTGACTTTATATTCTAACATTGCCATAATAAATGTGTTTTATTTTACATCCTGTGATTTTTGTTAAACGGGAGAGGGCCGAGGGGATGGTAAAATGGCCTTAAATGTGTCTTCCCCAGACTACCTTGTCAACCTGACTGCAGCATGTATATCAGAGAAAGAGTTTGCCTTTGTGGGACAGTGCCCAGCTCAGCATCCGCTGTTGTCATCTAGATCCAATCCCATTTTCATTCTTCTAATCTGCCATTTTCCTCCCTGTTGCAGGTATTGCAAAATCTTGGCAAAGACCAATATCCACAACAGTCGCTTGAACAAATTGGCACCCGAATTGCCAAAGTTTTGGAAAAAGTAAGTCACCCTACAGAAAATCTGGAAATGAATGCCTACTTTCTAACATTTTTTCTTGATTATTTGCCCCTATGTGGCTCTAGCCTCTTCCGTTAGTTACTTAGCACTTGGTGATAACTAAAGGGATAGCGTGAAATAACCACACAGGATGCTTTCATCTTTCTCCCTTACTTTTTTTTCCTCACTCGGTTAGTATTCCTTTTTGCTTCTTTGCTTACCTTCTGTAGTGAAGCTTACCCAGTCAAGTTTCTCTTCTTTACTCCAGCATGGGTACTGGAAGCCATGAAATCCAGGTATATTAAATAAGTCAGGTATTCTTCTGATGGTGGAGAATATTTTGAATTTTGGATGGTGGATATGAAACACGTCTTGAAATATGAACTCATGTCTCTTGAAGTCATGAAACAAAATATTTACAAAACTACATTTTCATGCAGCCTACAGAAAATATAACTGAGCATCTAAGATTACTTATCTACCTCTATTTGTGCAAAAGGAGAAGTTTTTCATTTTTAATATGATTATGATTAGGAATCTCTCTACTTTACCACTATAAAATACTAAAGAACCAATTTAACATAGTCATTAGGAAAGTCAACTTAACTTTGCATATGAACTTGTGAGATATCAGCTTTCTTCCTCTTCTGTGTGTTACACATGGAAAAACCACCAGCAAGCTCCAATTATAATGCAACCTGGGGTGCACATATGATACCCACATTCCAAAAAAGTGGGGGTTGCCAAAAGTGGTTAAGCTCCACGTAGAAGCCATACAGAATGGATTATAACAGAAACCGCGTAGGTCAGAAAACTTCAGCAAAAATCCATGACCTGAAGGAACTTTCTATAAATTGCCCAGCCAGGAAAATCCTGAGTAATAAAAACAGAGCAGACACAACATTGATATAAAAATCTTAAGAAAACCAGAGGGAAAAACAGCAAAACTTACCAAAGAACACTCAACAAAAAAATTCTGTTGTGGGACAGATTACAATTCAGACTAAACTTTTCTCCATGAACTAAAAAAATCATACTGAATAATTACCTTTATAAGTAAAGATCACAAAGCTAAAACATCGGAGGGGTTAGCAAGGGTTATCCAAACAGGAAATGAAAACTGAAATATATGAAACTTGAGTCGCAGACCAAACACAGGGAAGTAATAGAAAAAATAGTCATAGAAATGATGACAAAATTGGAAGGAGCAACAAGGAGGTGTAGCAGACACAGTAAGGCATGCAGGATGGAAATAATAAAGGTGACCAAAGTAAAATAAGGAGTTAAAAAGAATGGAAGAGAATGTGTTAGGCAAGACATATTCAAAGCTAGATTCAAATAAATAAGACTTAACAGTCTTCTTTTATTTTTATAAAATATAATTTGTTAAAAGGACATTCCGTGTGCCAGAGAAGTAGATCCAGAACCGTCAACAGCAATGCTTATTCAAGTAAAGTTATTCAACTTTCGAGAGGAAGAAGGTCCTTCCTTGACATTACTTCTGACATGGCTGGTTAATCTCCTTTCAATTTGGAAGGAGGTTACAAGTGTATCCTACATAGGACATAACTGTTTTTCTGTGGGGGTTTTTTTTTTTTTTTTTCTTTTTTTTTTTAGTTATTGCTGGTCTAATAAGGTGTAAGTCTTTAAAGATCTCTTCTTTCATTTAAAAATAACAATGACCTGGGCCAGGCTCGGACCTGTAATCCTAGCACTTTGGGAGGCCAAGACCGGAGGAATTCATGAAGCCCAGGAGTTTGAGACCAGCCTTGGCAAAATAGAGAGAGTGCGTCTTTCAAAAATGAAATAAGTTAGTTAGGCGTGGTGGTACACACTTGTAGCCCAGCTACTTGGAGGCTGAGGTAGGAAGACCACTTGAGCCCAGGAGTTTGACACTGCAGTAAGCTAAGATTGTGCCTCTGTGCTCCAGCCTGGGTGACAGAGCAAGACCCTGTCTCAAGTAATATATATGTAAGGTGTAAGCTGGGGCTGGAACTTTAGGAGGCGAGTCTGTCTTGGGAACAGATGTTGCTAATCTCTGAACCTTGAGCCAGTGACAGGGGAGAAGAAATTATTTCCAAATGAAGACAAAACAAGCAACACAAGAGCAAGTACTACGGTGGGTAATGCCTTAAGGAAGATAGAAGACACCAGTAAGGAACTTTTTTTAATCAAAAGGAAATGAAGGAAAAACTAAAGGGATCTGAGAAAAAGTGATAGTTAACAGAAGAAAGAAGATCCAGTCAATGCACATACAACAGGCATCCTGAAGATGAAACCAATATGATGAAACAAAACAAATACTAAAAATTGTAATTCAAGAAAACATTCCTAAAAGAAAAAAACAACTTGAAACTACATATTGAAAGAGCATACAACATACTTGGGAAAATCAACCTAGGTTGGCCAACTCTAAAAAATACTCTAGTAAAACTTTTTCAAAATAAGAAAAAAACTGCTGTGGTCATGCATGCAGGTAAAATAAAAGAAAGCAAACATTGTCAGATTTTTCAACTGCTACTCTTGATTCTGCAAGACAATGGAGTAACATATTTGCGACATTTAAAGAGAAAAAAGCCAAGAACTTATGTGCTACCAAATGGACCAGTACAGAGTCCACAGACAAACTGTGATGAAAGTGCAATGAATATTGTTTCCATGAGCCCCTTTTTGAGAAGGCTGTCTAATGGAGAATGAGCTTCAGATAGCCAAAGCTACCAGAGCAGCACTGGCATAAGGGACTAGGAAGTAAGCATTATCTATGTGTCTATAAAACCAAGAATAAGTAATAACTGTAAGGGAGACAGTATCTTATGTAATGGTGTATGTAGATACTCCTTGGCTTACGATGGAGTTACATCCTGATAAACCCATTATAAATCGAAAATATCATTAGGTCAAAGTGCATTTAATACATCTTGTAGTGGCCGAAAGTTCAATCCGAGAGACCACCAAGAGCCAATTCCAATGAAAGTTCGAGAGGGTCTTTATTTACAAGCTTGAGCCTGGACCTCTGTCGACAACCGACACAGCAGAGTACATTCAGAGGCTCTGATTTCCTTAAGCAGATGCCTTTTATGCTTTTACACAAAGGGAGGAGGAGTCTGGGGGGGGCTTTCCAGTTTTGTTACCATTTAATTGGGTAGTTCCTCTGGTGGTCAGCTTCATCGTGGAGGATTGGCTAGCCTGACTCGGGCTGACCTTGGCCCACTAGCTAGGGAAGTTGCAGAGACATCTGGAAACTTAGGTGATTTCTCCCTGGCACCTGATTGGTTGTTGCTAAGGGGAAAGTGAGACAAGGGAAGAATAACTGGAGCTTTGCAGTTTTGCCCATAACTGGAACTTTAAGCAGTTATATGTTTTAAGACAGAAAACTAAAATTGGCTGTGCTATTTATTGTTCACAAGCCGATTACATATTTATTGGGTTCTAGCATTCTCCTAACCTAAGAGTATACCTATTGTATACTCTAAGACGGTCCTCTCAATCTAACCTACTGAACATCATAGCTTAGCCTAGCCTACCTTACACGTGTTCAGAACACTTACATTAACCTACATCTGGTGACACAGTGTACAGCAAAATATTAGTTGTTTACTCTGGTGGTCAAGAGGCTGACTAGGAGAAGCTACCCAGAATCGTGGAAGAATATCGGGTTGCTTTCTATTGAATGTGTATTGCTTTCACACCATTGTAAAGTCAAAAAATTGTAAAGTCAAGTTGAGAACGGTTTGTGTTCTGGAAATGTAGCCATAATACAATGATCAAAAAAATGGTGAGAGAATGGGAAAATATATGAAGGATAAAATAAGCTCACTGATTAGTTAATAGATATTCCCCCATCTTAGCCTTAGGCAGTCTGTGTTGAGAATGTAAAAATGCCTCCAGCCCCAGGTCTTCTCAGGGGAGCCTGCCCCAGTAAGGAATTGTCCTCCCCAGTGGAATTTACCCTTGGTACAAATGAAAGTCAGGTCTTCCTGTTCTCTCCCAGGCAGCGGGGGCTGAGTTCCTGGGAAGTGGCTGCGGGACTCGCTCAGGGCTTTTTTCCCTGCACCATTCTGCAGAGGTTTCAGCAGAGTATGGCTGTGGCTAAGGCAGTTTCCTGTGAGGGACTGGAGTCCCACGAGGCTCAGGAGGCCTTCAGAGTTCATGGCAGGAGCACAGAACTCCCGAGTTCCCCTCACTTGGCTCCCCCATTGTGTCCAGAGGCTGCTCATGGTTTATGCAGTGATTCAGGCTGGTCTGCCTAGTTCCTACCAGGCTCGAGGGGCCTAGTTCCAACCCAGGCTGATCAGTTGTTTTCTTCTTTGCACTCTATGGGTCCCGTCGCTTATCTAGTGAGTTATGGGATACGCTGCTGGTCTCGTTCCTCTCTGAGTGCTGCGGGACTCTCCTAAGTAAAATTTAATAAAATACAAAGTAAAAATAAAATGAATAAAGCATACAAAGCAGATACAAAGAAGAGAACAAAGTTTATGATCTCTATACCTGATGAAGAAAAATTTACATCAAAAAGCTTGAAGTCACAAAAAAAATAATTTGATATGCCAAAGACTACAGTTCATTTGAAGTTATAATTTTTAATATTTATATACGTGGTAATGCAGAAACATTTCATAAAACAAACTAAAGCAGATTCATATAAATAAATTAAAATATACCCATTATAGTGGACAGAAAATTAGTGAGAATATAAAGACCTAAATACCATAATCAGTAAGACAGATCTTACTAGCCATATCAAATTCTGAACTTTGATGATAGACATACAGAATTTCTTCATTGAACATAGGATATATATGAACCTTGATCATATTAGAACAAATTCAAATAAATTCCAAAGAAGAAAATAAAACTAGCATTCTCTGACCAGAATGAAAAAAATAAAATGATTAACAAAAAGATATAAAAGACTTTCTATGTGGAAATTCTAAAACATTGTCATTTTAACAACTGCTTAGTCAAAGGGAAAATACAAAATAAAATTTAGAATTTCTTGAAGA